GAGATAGATAGAAAGAGAGAGACGGATAGAAAGAGAAAGAGAGCCCTATTCCAAAAACATTTATATTATTATTATTCTCCTTGCAAAAAAAAAGAGAGAGAACATGGTCAGACAGGGGAAGTAACTAAGAGGCAGACTAAAGCAAAACGATCTTGATTAATTGAGTTACGTCCCCTAGAATATTTTCATGTCAGCCAAGACTGCGCTCGTTTTTATAATATTATTCTCCCGTGCTTCCTTCACGCGCAGGGCTTAATTAATAATAGTTTAGTCTCCTCCTTTGCGATGACGACTTTTTCAAACGCTGAGCACACAAAAAGCTAACAGTACTCACTTTATCGACCCTACCATACACTTTTGTTAATGTGACAATTTTAAAAACTTAATTGAGTTCCACTTCTTAATAATAATATAACATTCGACGAATACTTCTCCGGGCTGCACAAAACTCTATGAAGGGCCGCTTTTGGTCCTCGAGCTATGGGGTTTAAAACTACGTTTTAAAATGTTTCAGTAAGTCCTTTAAAAGTTCACGATGACTTGCAGCTTCTGCTGTGGCCGATGAGACCAAGTCAGTCAGAGAAAAGTTTGCCACATTTTGAACATTTAAAGGCTCCACTTCCACTTGTGGATGTGCGCAGCTTGTGGGGTTTTTTTACTTGGTGGTACGAGAGATCGCTATCCTAGAATTCTAAAGTTTATCTGCTCAGTACCTAGTTTTGAGAAATTTGAAGTCAAACATTTGAGTTTCACATTCACAACATGTCAAGCTTTTTCAAATGCAATCTTTAACACATTATCTTAACTCATTGAAGACGCGCTGTTTCGGAGTATATACTTAAAAAATATAGAGGCATAATTTCGTTTTTCGCGCAGATTTTTCCATTCTCTGTTCTTTGCCAGAAACTTTAATGAGACAGGCAAAAATATATGCAGGCTATGAAATATGCAAATTGAAGTATTTGGTTTGTGTATGATGGTTCGAAATGTCCCACAACATCGCCTTTGCTCTTTTACTAATTGCTGGTCGGACATATGTGTCCGCTTCGTCGTGAAAGAGTTAACGACTCTGAATAATCCAACGATTTAGATAGAGGAGATAGAACATTTAGTTTTAGACCGCATGGTCTTAGTAACTTTAAAAAAGTCAGATGTAACTGCTATAATAGGTCGCTTTTAAGGACAAGCGGGCTAACCCAGATTTTGTGGGTTTTCAGAAATCTTGACCTACACCAAAAGTGGGCATTTCCCTACCTATAGGAGAAGTTTGATTTCATTGGTGTGTATATATTCGTTTGGTTATAGAGAAAACTCTCGTGTCTTTTAAAGAAATTGAACAAGGGGCAAAAACTTTAACTTCGATTTTCTCAACACAGCGTTTTTCGAGATAGCCCAATTTTGGGGTAGCGATCACATGTAACAGACTCACTGACAGACGACATAAGAAGTTGAGTAGACCACTCACCAGGATCTTGTGTCTCTTCCAGAACAGCAATAGTATAGACAGGCCGGCCAGACCTCCCTGAAACAGGAAATGAAACAGCACATTGTAGACACGGTGTCAATACACTGGATAAAAGATGATGATGATGATGATGATGATGATGATGATGATGATGATGATGATGATGATGATGATGATGATGATGATGATGATGATGATGATGATA